AGTGGTATGAGAAGGAGTATATAGGTGATGCCTCACAGACTTATCGCGTGGAAACTATTAACTCCACCAACCCCCTTAATTCATTCTGACGCTTACCTCATTATTTGGTTAGCCGAAGTTAGTCGAACAGCTGAGAACTGGGGTTGACCAACAGTGATCAACATTTTTAATCGCCTGGAAGAAACGTGAGAACTGTGAGCGAATTCTTCTCGTAATACGGAAGTGTGTAAGGGCCACAACACCATACAAACGTCACAACACCACACACGAGTCACAACACCATACAAACGTCACAGCACCACACACGAAAGTCACAACACCAAACAAACTCACAACACCAAAAGAAGTCACAACACCACACGAAAGTCACAACACCAAACAACCAGGGAGTGCTTTAAACACAGAGGCTGAGTAGCATGTAATGATGTTTGCACTAGGTGACCACTCAAACTTGACCCACTTTGGTGGCCATTAAAACATATTCAATCAATTGTCAAGCCTACACATTAAGAGCAGAGGCAGTCCCAACCCTTCAAGATGTAAATTTTGTGTCTTATTTGTTACACAATAAAGTTTAATTAAGATTTCAGATTCAGCTGTGCGAGTGGTGGGGTACAGCGTTTATAAAAAAAAAGCTTACCAATAATGTAAGGTACGGTCCTTGTAGAAATAATATGGTAACGTAGAACAAATTAAGACTCCAGCGTCATTTTCTGAATCTATTCGTAAACATCAATCAATCCCAGCTACATTTGAGGATCGCCAATTATTTTGAAACCATGTTTTTCTCAATGTTCTTGCGAAAAACGCCGGTTATGTGATATTCAAGCAATAATCTCAACTACAGAAGTTGTGAACTATAAACATGACTTAAACGATTTAACATTCAGTACGTGTGACTTCTGGATGTTATTTGGCTGCTTGGCATGGTTGTCTATCCTGCTTCTGTAAAAAAACCTTAGACGATCTGAATAAAATTAAAAATATACTGTTTTCTCTAGAAGGGTTGGAATTGCCACTGCTCTTTAATTTGCAACCTTATTCTTTAATGACCACTGAAGTCGGTCAAGTTGGGACGGACACTTGGTGCAAACATAATACATATGTTTCTCAGGTTTGCTACAAGATGTTGTGAGTTTTGCGTGTAGTGAGTTTTGCGTGTAGTGTTGTGAGTTCAGTGTGTGGTGTTGTGAGTTTTGTGTGGTGTTGTGAGCTCGTTTGGTGTTGTGCGTTCAGTGTGTGGTGTTGTGAGCTCGGTTGGTATTGTGGGTTATGTGTGTGGTGCTGTGACGTTTGTGTGGTGTTGTGACCCTTACACGCTTCCGTAATCTTCGCTTTTGCAAGTAGTATATAACTGAGAGGTCTTTAACTACTCACCTCTGTCAACTTAAATGCCTTTGTGTATCAAAAATGGGCCGGTCTTTCTTGTGACCCGATAGGGGATCGGACCCTCAAACTCCTGCAAATGGTTTCAGAAAAATATGTTCAGCTTTCAGGTTTAGAGATATCACAATACCTAAAGCGTGTCTGTAAACTAGGAGAGACAAATAAGACAAATAGATCATGAACTTACTTCGTTTAGAAGAAGAAAATAAAATACAACCTTGCACAGAAAGACTTTACGCTTGGGATAATTCAGGATTGGAATTCTACCACTGGTACAAAAGAAGGGCAGATGGTGCATCTTTCAAAACCATGTTGCTTGGGCTACCATAGAAGTAGCTCTCCAAAGCGAGGCAATACTTAAAAATCACGAGGACGAGTGAAAATTGGCTTTTAAAAAGATGAAGTTTGCAGAGTGCAAAATTCTCAAGATTAATTTATTATGAAAATGTTCAGTTATTATAAATATAAAGCATTCTGTTATTTTATTATTATTATTATTATTATTTATTTATTTATTATTATTTTTTGTTGAAATTACAGATTTAAAGCAGTCAAAGCTAGTTCTTATAATCGAGACNGAGTCTCACTAGATTACTGTCAGATAATCCCCCTTAAGTGTCCGTCCCCGCCTACTACAAGCTTTAAGGGGTAATTAACTTTCGTGTCCGGCCGGGCTGACAGCTATTTAGCGTGAACCCCCAGGGAGTTAGGTCGATCCAATGTAGGTCGATCTAATGTATGAGAATGGGGTGTTAGATGTTTTGTTCCTGTGCTGGTCACGGTTGTGTATCCTGTGCAACAAATCTGATCAGAATGACTGGCCTTATCCCCCAGGCCCTGTCGAGTGTTCTCGCTATAATCCAATTCTCGTTTGACGTCATCTGCCTTGCACTGGCCCAAAATTTTGTACCTCGGTTGGCCCTACCCTCTACCATGATTGATTTTCACTAGATATTCACAGATATGTCTTTGATTTAATTCACGGTTATTCTCTGTACTGTGGCCCTGTAATAAAATCTCAAGGATGGTAACATAGCTGGTAATTGTTTGCATAACTACTCAGGCACTGCCACTTAACAAGTATCCCTGACAGCAATCAAGATAGTTAATTGCTCTTCTCTGATAACAAAAATATCCCCTTATGAATAGCTTGTTACTTAGAGTATTCCTTCAGCAGACAGACAAGACAAGACAGGCTGCGTAACGAGCGTTAATCACATCGGCGCGAACCCCAGCTCCCACTGAGCTCCTGCAGAGCGGATGCAATGCCATCTGCACGCATACAGATTTAATTGCTTCCACATGGCCAAAAGTTACAGGGTCGCCTCTTTATAATTGTTGCTCTGCTTGGTAACTCTTAGCATATCCCTTAAAATGTCAGTGTATGGTCCCACTGTTGTGAGAAGTGACTCGGCAGTGGGACTGAACATGGCACAATATTTATATCTGTGTAACTTATTTACTTATATGTCTCATGTAATTGTCATTAATCGTAATTATCAATGTCATCAAACAGCCATGTAAACAGCTATGTAACGGTGGTTTTAAGTTCTTTAAAAACATATTCTTTTTGTGTAACATGTTTATAGTATGTTTATGGTAAATTTATAATCACACCAAGGTTTATCTCAATGCTTAGATAGAATATTTTATGAGTAATTTTACTAGTACTTATCTTCATTATATAAAGATGGTAATACACTAACTGTATTGTATCATCATTTGTATATCATATTGTACAAGGTCATGACAATCTATGTACCAGTACAGAAATAAATTGAATTGAAATTGAAATATAATAACAGGGTAGGTTGGCCCCTATTGCAACTGAAATTTTGCCCAGTAGATCTGAAGTGTGATAATCCCTCGTCTTGTATTCCTAAATGTGTATGTGGCATGCTGGGTGCGCGCAGGAAGTTTGTCTTGTGGTGACCGCCGCAGTTATTAGAGAATAACCGTGAATTAAAACAAACATTTCTCTGAATATCCAGTGAGAAATCAATCTGTGACCCTGGTAGAGGGTACTGTGGCCAAAGTAAGTGATAGATACAATACGAGTCGCCGAGCTGTACGTGAAATATTACGAGTGTATTGGCGAGCCGCAGGCGAGACAATACACGAGTAATTTTCACGTACAGCTCGGCGACGAGTGTTGTATCTGGCTTAAACCACGGCCTCTGATTGGCTACTACACTAGTAGTGCAACAGACCGTGGAACGCACTCGTACATGACGTGCTTGTATGTCGAATACAGCACGGTGGAGTCTTTTGTTCTACGCACTAGCCGTGGTTTAATGTCTATAAGACGACATTGCACAAATCAACATGTTTAACCAGGCATCAGTACTGGTCGTCCCCTTATGATTGCAGTCGTGGAGGATCGCATACCACAATGTGGCTATTCAAAAAGGGTCGTCAGAAATGAGCGTTGTCTTTGAGGAACAGATGGCAACAATGAACCAAATTCAGAGAAAGAGTAAGCAATATGCTCCAGAATGACGGTCTCAGGTCAAGTGGAACTCCTAGGAAATCAGCTTTGGTCAAACAAAAGTAGAATTGGCGCTTAGGAAGGCATGTCAACTCCATTGTCACCAACTCTTTCTTTGGGGACATGTCTGGTTTTCTGGTGGATTGAGATTCCTTTTCAACGTGTTGATGGCTGATTTCGTGTTCAATGCCTGGTTCATGTAGGGTCTGCTGAAGACTTGTGGCTCCGTCCTTAATTTTCATGGAACTATCATGATAATCTTGCAGTAAAAAGTGAAAACTGATGTTTGCAGGTACATGTAGGTTCTGATGACAGAAATGGCACTATATTGTACGTCCCCTTTTGGCCGTGACTAGTTTCAACAGATTACATGACTATGTTGCACCTCATCGTGTCCCCGCAACATTTTTTCAATAAGCAGGGAGTTGAACATCTGGACTGGCTGATATGAATCCCAATGACCGCTGTTGGGATATTCAAGATCGGGTTGTCTGGTTGTTAGGAGAGGGTCTAGGCGACCATAGTGGCTTGGTCTTGCCAAGAGAGGAACAACAAACTGGTCAGTCAGTCAGTTCCCAGAAAAAAATCTATCTGGGTTCGCGGAAGCTACATGTGTACAGGTGATCCTAACTCTGTGCTTGGATTCTTCATAAAAATTTGTATCAACCTACACTTCCATGGAAACGACAGTTGGTTTTCTTGGCGATCATGTACTAGATGTGAATTGATCAACAGTTATGAATCCAAACCTAAAAATTTAACAAATATACCGCAACTTGGACGAAGAAATGGAATTATATTAAATCATTAATGTGTGGTTGAATGGTTCTTTTAGTCTTACTTTGTCCTTGTTGAAATCACATTTTTTAAAATAAATTCTAAAATATTCCATCATTTTAACAAGATTGCACGGAACCAGTAGCTTATGTATGAATGTTGTTTAGTCTCTTGGACTCAAGAGCAATATGTTTATTATTGGTATACACTGTATAGGTAAACAGATGAAACAAATACAAAGGTGTTTTATTGGAATCATTTCCAAGTAGGTGTAGGGCTTTACGTGGAAACTTAGTATCGGCGAATTACGTACATGTATATGAAAGGGGTAGGTTAAAATGCATATTTCAAGATCTTATGTGGAAATTAACTAAATTCAACGGTCTTTTCAGCTTCCGTTTCACAATAAAGCATGTGCTCTTAGTCCAACACTTCATTATTTTTGTACATAACACTATGCGGCAAATTTGAATACTTTAAACCTGCCGCACTGTTAAACACTCATTAGCACATATGCATTATACAAAGAATGGTAATATACACATTCTTGATGATACTAGTAGCCAGCAGGTAGAAGGAACTCCCGCCTTGTTGACCTCTGCATAGAGATCACTATTAACTGATTGTGATATTTAATTTACTGAACCGTTAGGGGAAGCCTTTTAAATTTCTATGATTTTCCCCAGGTAAAAAGATAAAAGTAAAAAAAAAGATTGATACAAGTAATGGCAGTAGAAAACATCCAGAGATTGAATTCACCAATCGATTGAATAAAGTGGAAATGTGACCCTGTATTCAACCCCAGAATGATATTATTATCGCAAATTTAAGTTAATAAGTTTATCCTAAATGATTTATTGAGGTATGCGTTTATCAGGCACGGCGTCTGCAATCGTATAACTTAAAGAGGAAACGTATCAAGCTCCCAGGCTATCAGAATGTAACGAATTTCACAGAGACCGAAATGAATTTTCTGAAATTGCTTAAAACGCATTTCACATTATGTTTCATTATTTTGTGCGTGCCGCCTTTCACACTTTAACTCTTTGGAATTCATGTGTGACATAACTTCTAGCCAGCGGAGTGTATGTTTCTTATGGTTCATTTTGGAGAAACTGAAAGACATATTGCCTTTGACGATCTGAGATTATCGATGTCATGAAATACAATTCTGAAATTACTATATTCACAATGTTTAATTTGATTTTCTAACTCAAATTTTCACAACCCAACTGTGTTTACAACGGTTAAATAAAAACCATTTCAGTTCTGGCTTTAACACGATGTTTGATTGCAACTGATGGCTTAATGTTACACCAACCCTTCCACCGCTGAACAAAGAATATCATTCATTGAGCATTTCATTCAGTAACCATCCATTGGTTTTAATGCTGTCACATTTTAATTTAATCCATGTTGACCCCTATTATCAGCTGGTTTATCAGTCTTGTCCGTCATTGTTCGCATGTGAACGTTAGGTGCATTAATATATTTTTGTAATATGATATGACTTGGTTTCAACTACTTGGTTTGGACTAACTAAGCCGCGGGTCACATATGACGCGGCCCACTTGAAAGCATGCCAAGATTTAATTGCTCTGCCCATGCAGGAAGGGTGGGCGTGGGAAGCGGGGAATCCATTGTCAAATGCGCGCCTTATTTGATCAGACTAGTCTGCAGATCAGTTAGTCCGCAGATCAACTTTGCTCTGAACAGTCCCTTATTACTGTTTACTATATATATATGTATTACTATATACTATACTGATTACTTATTGCTATTTAGCAGATCTAGAACACAAGGAGTTTTAAATAGGGGATAAACGCTTCTTCATGATATAGAACAGGCAATCACATATTTTCCGCATAGTGAACGAACCAAATTGTCCAATCTGAAGGTAAATGTTTTCCAACAAATTGTTTAAAAAATAGTGTTTTTAAATATTGGTCTTATTCTTTCAGTTCTGCACACAAAAAGAAGTCGCAGACAAAGCGCTCTATCCAACATTTGTAAGAACGAAGCCACAGGATTGGGTGATCTCGAGCTCTGTGACGTCTGTGCTCAAATACTTTAACTGGAAGAAAGTAGCGTTTATCCACAGAGACCAAGCTGCGT